CCCGAATCGCCTGCCACCAATGCTTTCACCCACTCCACCGCAGTCGAGGTACCCGACTCCCAAATTCCCGGACGACCCGCGCAAGCGACTGCTTCCTCGCCCATGTCCAGCCACGTCATTCCGTCCAGCGCAACCAAAGGCAAACGCACATACAAGCAGAGCAAGCAGTCGAAGCGCGATCGGGCTATCAGCGACGCCATGCAAGACGCAGGCATGGACCAGGACGGAGATACAACCATGATCGCAGACGCGACCGCCTCACCCTCGCATACGGCATCGAAACACAAGCGCGCTCAAGAAGTGGACGCGCCGGAGTCGAATGACGCACATACACGCAAAGCTGCTGCAAGGAGCGCTGACGGAACACCCTCATCGGCTAAGCGGCGGAAGATTGGTACGCCCAAGTCGCTGACTACACTTCGAGACCTTATTGGAGGCGGGGAAGACGAGGACGCCGAGCAACCACGGACCGTCCAGAAGTCGAAACTAAAACGAATCAAGAAGCCGCAAACCCCCATCGCGAAATCGAGAAACCTCTACGAGATCCCCGACGACGATCCGCGTCCCACGAACGGAGAGGCAAGCACCACGCAGACATCTACGCCTAAGCCGCGTCTCAGTTTGAAGAAGACAAAGAAGAACAAGGACATTATCGACAGCCGGCCTACTCCGATTCGCACGCTTGCTCAGCCGTCGGGCGAAGAGGAAGCGGAGGACAGCATCATGCGAGAGCCCATCTCCAGTGACGAGGCAGACGCTGCTCCACCGTCCGGTGATGATCACAGCGATTTCAAAGAGAAGAAGAAGACAAAGAAGAGGCGGTCATCTGCGAGGAAGGCAAAACCAAGGCGGGAGAGCGGCAGATATAGCTTTACCTGGAAAGATCCCCCATCTGGCACCGCGGCAGAAAGAGCATTGAATACTGAGCACGACCTACAACACCCTCCTGATCTACGAAGCTCCGGTGACTTCACCGCAGACGAGGAAGAGCTCATCCGTCGAGCTATCGTAGACTACCAACAGAGGAAAGGCTTGGAGGTGTCTGAGCTTGTGGACATCATACAATGGAATCCGACTGACCCCAGCTTCAACACTGGCGATGGAACTATATCGTCCAAGAGCGAGTGGTCGCCACAGGACGTCGAGGACGCGCGTGAAAGCGCGGAATTCTGGGACGACATTAAGCACCTTCGCACAGAACGCTCGCACGACAGATTGAGAAGACACATCCGTCAGACATACCATCAGTTCAAGAGGGGAGTATGGACGGAAGAGGAAGACAAACGGCTGAAACAGTTCTACGCGATGCACCCCAACAAGTGGAAGGTCATTTCAGTTGGCATGGGGGATCGCTCTATGCACGACTGTCAAAACAGGTGGCGCGATTACTTGCAATATGGTGACAAGCTCAAGTCCTCGCGCTGGGATGAAGAAGAGGAGGAGCTTTTTATCCGCGCCGTTACCACAGTCGCTCAACGGGACGAAGACCACCGCGCCGAAGAAGGATTACCGCCCATTGACGAATACACGATCAAGGACATCAACTGGCAGCAGGTCAGCCGTGAGATGGACAACACCCGAAGCCGAATCCAGGTCGTACAGAAGTGGAGGAATCTGCAGAAGCGCGAATCTCCGCCAGAGATCGAGGTCGAACGCAAGCCGAGGAAGGAGAAGCCTCCCGCTTCCAAATCTGCGATTCCCGAGCCGACTCCCAAGAAGCGCGGACGGCCGAAGGGAGAAGCTGGCGCAACGCCCAAACCCAATCCTCACTCTGCCAGGTCACAGGAAGTCATCGACAACTCGGATGATGAAGAGACTCAGACCGCGCCACCGCCGAAGAAGGCTAAACGGCCTAGGAAGAGCGAAGGCTCGGAGGCGAAGAAATCTAAGAAGTTCCGCACGGCTGAGAAAGACGAGATTGTTGACAACTCGGACGAAGACCAAGCCAACAAGGATGCGGGAAGCCCACCGAAGAAGAAGAAACGCAGAAAGTCAAAAAAGAGCGAGGCCCCAGAAGTCGACGACGAAGAGGAGTCTCGTCCAACCAAGACACGGGACATCATTGAGAACTCAGACGAGGAGATGGTCGATGATGATCAGCAACCGAAGGTCTCGCCGCCGAAGAAGAAGCGTGGTCGACCACGGAAGAGCGAGGGTACCGAAGCCAACGAGGATCAGACACCCCGCCCGACTGAGACAGAGGATGTCACTGCGAACTTGGATGAGGGTGCTGATGTTGATGAGCAACCCAAGACCTCGACGCCGTCCAACAAGCGCGGACGTCCTCGAAAGAGCGATACACTGGAAACAAACGAACCGGAGAAGCGTCCCGAGCCTGAAGTCTCTGAGGAGTCAGTAGCAGATCTGGAGCTTGCAAACGACGATCAGTCAGAGCACGCAGAGGGCGACGACAAGGTCGTGGAGGAAACCCAGCCAGTTGTGCAGGAAACCCAAATGGATCCAGCTCTGATCGATCCGGCCCTAATAGATCCAGCTCTGGACTCAGACCGTAACCAATCACCGACAACTGGCGATGATGCCGAGCAGGAGATTGAGGAACCATCCGATGAAGAGGAGCCATTCAGCACCGCACCAATCATTTCCCCAGAGCAACCACAAGGACACGGTAACGACGAAGTACAGCAGGAGAAAGAGGACTTAATCGAGGACGCCGACCCAATCGAAGACGACGAAGATCAACACAGCGTTGTGTCGAGCAGCTCGTCACAGGACTCGGACGACGACCAGTCCGAGCAGGACAGTAAAGTCTCAGCGCCAACAGAGAACGATGAGCTTCCCAGTGAGGAGGTACAGCCCAACGTCATGTCGACTGAACAAGATGGCCCGAAACAGACTTTATCCACTGGAGACAAGATGCAATGGGGCGACAAGTACGATCTGATTGCGAGCTTGCAAAACCACCGCGATGATCGTGAAGAAGATGGAGACTTCAACTGGGATAAGATCGCAGAAGAAGTCGCAGAAGAGCGCAAGTACATCTGGACACCGCAAGTACTGCAGAGTGCGTTGGATCAGCTGATTCAGCTTCTTCGCGACAACTGCAAAGAAGTGGACGAGGATGACCTGGACGGGACGGTGGATGATATAATGGATTTCATCTCCAGTGAGCATGGGGAACAGATTGACGAGTACTACGACCTTTCATAGGAAACGAACTGATACGCGTCGTTGGGTCTTGTCGCCATCAAGCGCTTCAGGCGGTAGTAGTGGTAGTAGTGCATTGAACGTACTTGGAGTAACGCGTTCGTCGCGTGTACATAGCATATAAAACCATATACACCATCGCGTAGTGCAGCATAGCATGATATCTAGCGTTCCTTCCGCATCCGTATCCTCCACCATCGTGACCTCTCTAAACGGAGCCAACACGCGCACTAAGCCCCTTCGCCACATCGGCTCGGTTGGCACCCGAGATCTCACTCACTTGCCCCACGACATCTACTTCGCGTGCGTAGCGCATCGCGCATAGCGTATTCTAGTCTGGTTGTTCAGATCTTCAAGGTTGTGCCTAGCGAGCATCGAACAACGCAAGGCGAAGTAAACGTTGTGTCGATACATCCGGCGTTTACGGGTCCGCACAGCCACGCTCAACGCCTCAACATAGTTACATTACACTGGGAGGCACGGTAAACAACACAACACATTCCACCGCTGTGGCAGTTGAGGAGAACCTAAAATAGAATTACACAGGAAGGAAGGGTTTTAAGGGTCACGAAACGTGGATCCACAGCCGCATGCAGGTGTCAAAAGGACGAGGCTGTGGACGGTGTGTGAGCACAAAGGCTAACGCACGCTGCACGAGCTATTGAAATCTCCGGGACTCATACGGCGTATGGTAAAGAGACTAGAGGTGTTAGAGAGCTTAGAGGGTCCGAGTACGATGGAATGTGTGGGAGGGTGCTGGGATAGACGCGGTCTGCGGGTGTGAGTGGGTGGTGTGATCTATTGGGTTGGGTTGGCGGTGGGCGCGGGGCAAACTTCGTCCGTGGTGAAGATGCGATGGATATTTGGTCAACACAACGATTTCTCAAGGGTGAGGAGAATACATCGTGGAGTGTATACACAAATGCCCTCGAAAACCACCCATCGCAACATGGTGACACCTCGTGCAGGCTGACAAACACAGAAGGGCAGTTCCCTGCTCGAGTACCCACCTGTCTTGGCTTATGTCAGGTGGTCCCTGCCATGACCAAAGGCGGCCGGGGCTTGCAACGTTGCGAGGCCAATGGCGCGATTTCTGATCATTCCCCTAACCGGCACCCTCCATGACGTTGGCTTGTCTATCCGCGGCCAGTCAACGGCTTTGGCGCGAAGGCGAGGCGACGAAACGGACAGGATGGCCTCGCTTTCAGCGCTCCGAGGTAGGGTCGGCTGGCTGCTGGCGGAGGAAGGATGGAGGATTAGGGTTCGTACTGCTGCACTCCACATTTGGGTGCCCGTATTTCCCCCCCTTCTATCTTACTGTACCCAGTGTAATCCTTCACTCCATCGCCGCTGTGTCTGTTATTGCTGTTGTTCTGGCCGTTGCGTTACTCTCGGTTGCGCGTCCCTCGTTTTGCATCTGCATCCGCATCGCCCGGTCGCTTCTGCAGTGACATCCATTCGCTCCACCTAGCTGATTGTCATTCCGGCTGTTTGTGCCACGCTCAAATCAGCGTCCTCCGCAGCCTACGCCTCCTCACCAGGGCCCTTGCCACCCGCTCACCCTCGAACGTGCATCCTGCGTACCGGCACATATAGTGTCCGGCTGTTAACCCGTCTCTCCCTCGTCGCTCGTCGAATAGAACCGGGTCAAGGGTGCCGACCTTGTTCCTGAACCGCGACGTCATTTTGACCATTTACCCGCTGGCTTCCTTCCACCTGACGAGACCCGAGGAACCCTTTGCGAACACGACTCGTTCACGTTTGACGGCCCTTTTTTTACCCCACGACGTGCACGCGACCACCTGGGCGCACGTGTTTGGTAGCGATAATAAGCAATGGAGCAAGTCCGACCACAACCCGCGACTAGGCCCGAGGGTCGCCGCATGTCGATATTCACGGAGGTGGGACTGGTGGATGAGAATAAGATGATGGAGGAGAGGAGCCCGGTGCCGACACATGGAGAGAGTTTGAGGAGGTTAAGACCCGCGAAGATGCTGAGGTTTAGGAGCCGGAACGATATCTTCAGCGCGGAGGGAGAGAGGCTGGCTGACGACGAAGACGATTGGGAGTCGGTTTGCGACGAGGACGAGGCGAACGAGAACGTGTCGCGCATGACCACCACATCGCAATCCTTCCTACCGACGAAGCTGTATCGATTCGGCCTTCTCAGTGTCCTACTGGCATTGATGCTACCGATCATCCAGCTCAATCCCCTCAAACACGTCGGCGTACGGGGTGGCGCGATCCCGGCGAACTTGATCCAGGCCAACGCCGAACGCTCGATGCTCGTCAGACGAGAAGACAGTCCCACCGATGCGTGTAGACGGTGGAGCGGACAGAGCGCCATCGTCAACGGAACACTGTACATGTACGGATTCCGCAGGACTACCGACGGCCAACAGAAAGAGGATACATGGAGTACGTTTCAAGAGGCAGCTCATTCCTGCGCATTCAATGCTAATACAATACAGACAACGACTTCCTCACCCTCGATCTCACCGAATCCTGGCAAGTCGCCTCACCCGCTCTGACCGGTCTCCCCAAGCCCACAGGCCCACCGGCCGTTTCGCTCGGTCAGCTCTGGGCATCGCACGATTCACTATGGCTCTACGGTGGCCAATTCTCCGACAGCCCACAGGCCGATCCCGCGAACAACTCCGTTTGGGAATACAATATCGGAGGCAAGCAGTGGATCGAACACGCCGACCCGAAGACCTCGGCTGGTGGAGAAGAGGCAGAGGACGCTGGTCAATCTGTACAACGTGTCGCTGAAGGTGCGGGTCTTACCGTTCCTACGCTCGGCAGGGGCTTTTACTTCGCTGGCCATTTGGACTTCCTCACGACGGAAGGCTGGAGCATTCAGACCCCGCGACTGTATCTGAAGAGCTTGCTGGAGTTTACGTTTCCGGGCCAGAGCAACAATGCTGTTGAGTCGCTGGGTGATGGCAAGACAGCTGGATCGGACGGTGTCTGGCGCAACATCACGTATGGCGGACTGCAGAACACTGCGTCGTTCCCTGAGCGCGCGGATAGTTCGCTTGTCTACGTCCCTGGATTTGGAAAAGAAGGGCTCTTGATTGGATTGACTGGTGGCGACAATGCTACTTTCGTGAGTTGGACTGCATACGGATGTTATGGTGGATGCTAACAGAACGCAGACGCAGATGAACACTATCGATGTTTACGACATTGAGACATCGACATGGTACAAGCAGAGTACTTCTGGCAAGACGCCGAAGTACCGAGTCAACCCATGTACAGTTGTAGGAGCTGCTGCAGAGTGAGTACACCCGACTTTCATTACCATTCGCAATTTTTACTAACAATGTACAGCGGCTCATCTTACAACATCTACATGTTCGCCGGTCAAGATCTCAATGAACCTGGCAAGCTTGACACCCAAACGCAGCGCGACGACATGTGGATCCTCTCCGTTCCCTCGTTCTCCTGGATCGAGGTCGAACAAGGCACCGACAAAGCCAGCATACCTCCCCCACGTGCCGGCCATCTATGCCAAGTCTGGGACCACCAGATGATCGTCCTAGGAGGCTACAACACCGACCTCGGCTGCGACGCGCCCGGCATCTACGTCTTCAACATGAGCAGCCTAGGCTGGAGCGACCAGTTCACCGCCGTAACAGGCAAAAACGCGCTCCAAGGCTACAACTCCAAAGACAAAGGCAGCACCGGCAACCCGCTCGCCCAACAAATCAACCAACGCGGTTTCGGCGTCGAAGCCGGCATCGAAGGCTCCTACGGCTACGCCGTCCCCGAAGCCGTCCAAAGCGTAATCGGCGGCGCAGCAACCGGTGGCGCCACCCTCACCGCCCCCGTCCAAACACCCACCCAAGGCCCTCTCGCAACCGGCAAACCCCAAACTTACACCATGACGGGCCCTGACGGCGCAACCATCACCAACGTCGTCAACGGAAACCCACAGGGTGCCTCATCCGGCGACAGCGGCCCCAACATCGCCGCCATCGTCGCCGGCGTAATCGCAGGCGTCTTCTTCATCATCGCCGCCTACTTCGCCTTCTGCGCCTGGATCTACCGCCGCCAAGTCCAGATCTGGAAGTCGCACGCTGCTGCCGTACAAACACGTGCGAATGCGGAGAAACAGGGTACTTTTACTAGTAGCTCTGGTAAGAACAGCAGTGAGCGGCCGCCGGGTACGCTGGGTGGTAGTAGCCATGGGGGTGTTGCGGCGGGCAGCTTTGATATTACGAGGAGGGGGAGCGATGCCGTGCCTATGCCTAGCACGGCGTATGGCGGGCCTGGAGAGGGGGATCGTTGGGGCAGGCGGAATAGTGAGGGGAGTGTTGTGGATGGGTTGTTGGATGGCCAAGAGCCGAGCTTTTGGGGGGCGAGGGGTGTGTTGCTGAATCCGAGGAGGAGTTTGAGGGTTATTAATAGGGATTGAGACTGCATCTCGGTCTCAGAGCACAGTGGTGGCATATGATCTTCTTTTTACGATTCCCCCGATTAAGTATATTCAGGCAAAGAATTTGGTTATATAATGATGGGATAGGGCAGAGATACATGGCTGATTGGGATAGTAATAATGACTACAACATAATGACCAACTTCTTCAATTGCGATCTTCCTGCTCTCTTCTTCTGCGTCATCTTTCACTACCAATATCTAAACCCGCACTAACACCCCCTACATTGCTAATAGTCGCACTGTGAAAACACCAGGCACCAGCTTCCCTCTCCCACTCCCCTTCCTCTCCCTACCATATAGACCCCTGCTCCCCTCTCTCTCACCCATTTCCTCCCCAGGCCCGTCACAACGCCTCAGTGACACCCACACATCCACACAACAAAAAATAAATGGGGTCTGCATGCAGACCAGTATACCTACCTGACAGACCTCGCCGGAGGTTTTCGACCCGACAAAACCCTCTATCCTGCGGCCATCGAATACATTAGCTAGAGACAGAATGCCATAGCTAACGGCGTAGATGGGGCTGTTGGTGGGCACCGAGGCTGATTCCGAGATTACCTTGATGGGGGTGGGGCTTCCTTGACGGGGGCGGTTGGGGGAGCGCGTGGGATCCTCGACGTGTGTGGGTGTGTGGGTTCTTTTTCGTTGGCTGGCTTTACTCTGGTTTTGCTAGAGAGAGGGCTGAAGAAGGGGAGGGAGGATGCTTGGGGTTGTTGGGTAGGCGATAAGTGGTGAAATAGATGTTGATGGCGTATTACTATCTGTTGTTAGCATACTATTGAAGGATTCGCGAAGGAAAATACGTGCATTGCATCGCTAATCATTTAGTATCGCTAAACGCTTCGTATAGTTGTAACGTTGCTCTTGATCTAGACATTGTCACTCCTCACTTCCCATCCCTCTACAGTTATTCTCATCAGCGTGGTTGAACAGACTCAATCTCAATTTCTATCGCAACACCATCTAATCCCTTCTTCAGCCCTCTCTCCAATCTAGAGTAAAGCAGCCAACGAAACGACGCACACGCCGAGGGTCCCACCACTCCCCGAACCGCCCCCGTTAAGAAGCCCCCCCTCGAAATCAGACTCCTACGCGCTCGTCAGACAGACGATCTGCATCACCGTTGGAAAGCTACGCCGGCCGGTCGTAAACTTTCCTGGTGACACGTGATAATCTGTTGGATCAAACGCGTATGAAGTTCCGTCTCGAGGGACTGGTCTGTTGCAGACGCCAGTTTGATGAGGGGAAGAGAAGGGGAGGGGTTGGTGGGAGGGGGGGAATATATAGAGGAGGGGAGGGGGCTGTTGCCTAGTGTGGTTACAGTGAAGGCGGTGGTGGGGAGGCGCTGATGCCTGGTGTACGTACAGTGAAGTTAGTGGGGTAAAGGTGCTGTGAAGTCGGATAGTGAAAGGTTGAAAGCAACTTTCGACCGGATTTATCTTACTTCCTGAGTGCATGCGCATATCAGCCTACGTGACGAGAATCCAGACCACATTGATGACACCATCTCTTCTTCAGCCCCCAGCCAAGCCGAGTCAAAGCCAACGAAAAGAAATACATACGTCGAGGGTCCCTCCGCTCCCCCAACCGCTCCCGTTAAGAAGCCCCAACCTAGAGAGGGGTCTCATTCCAGCCTTCTTGTCTTGACGCCTTTGACCACGCGGTGCAATGTGGTAGGGTATCTCAACAAGCGGGCTGAGACGAGACCCCTCTCGAGGTTACTGGTCTGATACAGACCCCTTCGACCTGGGCGCCCAGGTAAAAGAAATTCTCTCTTTGGAGAATTCGTCGCGAACTCCGCAATGCCGTTCTATGAGGGCTATCGCGTTCGGTGTGGTTCTTCTTTGAAGACCACTATGAGCTGCGGCGTTCCTCTCTGGGAAGCTTCGTGATGTTAGCAATTCATCGTATGTCTCGGGCGGAGAGAGGGCAAGGGAAAGGGAAGGAGAGAGAACATACCTCGCACTCATGTCGGCAGCCCCACCTCTCTACCAACCAGCCCGATCAAGAGCGTCCCTATAATATCTTTCCTACCGTATACACCCGTTTCAACTTCTTACGGGTTCGACACAACGCCGGCACACATCTCCATCTGTGTCTCTCTGGTCTCGTGCCGGAATCTCTTCTCTTCGACATCGGACCTCGTATGCAATGACCCCGCTTTTGGTAGTCAGTCCTCATACACCTGTGTCATGTCAGCTCTTCGTCTCAAATGTTTCGTAGAACAGGTGAAAAGGACAGGGAATCAAAGCCATACCTCACCCCCCAGTGTTGAACAGCCCCACCGCTCTGCCAACCGGCCCTTTCAAGAGCCTCCCGCTACAGGCCCTTCCTACCGTGTAAACCCTTTGGGCGACCCACGGTCCAGGTTGTAGCGCTGGTGTGATGCACACCCCAGAGATGTGTGTTGATGATGGTAGTTGATGTGGATGGAAGAGAATTGCAAGTGAGGTAGTATGTTATATATAGATCAGAGGGGTTTGCTAGGAAGAAACAACTTGTGCGCTTGACTGTCGGGCGGGTGATGAAGATTGTGTTTGTTGGCTGTTTTCTCTCGCGCTTTGATGTCAGGCGCGAATGTGATGGATGAACCGACTAGACATGTTGGGAGAAGATTGGAAAGTAAAAGTTTGGTATAGCGAGGATTGGAATTACGCGTAGATATCTCCAAGTCTGACGAGAACAGCAGAATACGTGACAGACAATGCCAGCATCGCGAGTTCACCGGCTGCCATAGTGTGTGTCTCGCGCCGGTCGACCGGAGGATCAAGCTTTCTGTATGTGAAGCCACATCACTCCTTCCACGATTATAAGACTCCATCCATTCGCTTCCTTCTCTTTGGCGAACCAAACACCATCTGCTTGATGAACTTGGCACTTAACACCCCTCACATGACGTTCTTCAGTCAATGGTTTTCACACGAGGTGCGCGGTTGTTCGGCGCCGATCAGCCTCGGCATATGGACAGCCGAACGCTGGACCGACGTAGGCCCAGCACCAGCTCTCCGGAGCACTGGAGCTTGCACATGCGAAACCCAAATCCGCTTTCGCCCACATCAGCCACGCATTTTCGCTCTTCATCGCATTGTGGGAGCAGTCGCGTAGGTATCTTCTTGCTCTAGACGGCTTCTTTGGTCCTCGTATCTGCTTCTGCTGCCTCTATCCGAAATCTACGCGCGCCTGTCCATCCCACGCGACCCCACTACAGCTCCCACCATGTCAAACACGGCGGATTCGGTCATTGAGAAGCTGCCCAACACGGCTGAGCTAAAAGAAGATGTCAAGGCAGCCTCCAAGTCTTCGCTGCAGTCGCTGCGGGCGCTGTTAGCGGGAGGTGTGGGTGGAGTGTTTGCTGTCGTGGTCGGCCATCCCTTTGATCTGGTCAAGGTGCGCATGCAGACGGCAGAGAAGGGCGTCTACAGCGGGGCTATGGACGTCGTGCGGAAAACCATCGCAAAGGAAGGACTAGCTAGGGGGCTGTATGCAGGTGTTTCTGCGCCGCTTGTTGGTGTAACGCCCATGTGTGAGTACAGGACGACCAGTATATGAATAACCAAGGCTGACAATTGACAGTCGCGGTGTCCTTCTGGGGTTACGATCTCGGCAAGCAACTCGTATCCAGCGTATCCAAGGTCGAGAACAACCAGTTCAGCGTCGCACAAGTCTCCGCCGCCGGTTTCTTCAGCGCCATCCCCATGACCATCATCACCGCACCCTTTGAGCGCGTGAAGGTGCTCCTACAGATTCAGGGACAAAAGAACCTGGCGCCTGGGGAGAAGCCAAAATACTCTGGTGGCATGGATGTGGTGAAGCAGCTATACAAAGAGGGCGGCATCAAGTCAGTATACCGCGGCTCTGCCATGACACTGGCGCGTGACGGCCCTGGGTCAGCCCTCTACTTTGCGACATACGAGACCGTCAAGCGCAATCTCACGCCAAAGGACCCGATCACCGGTCAGCCGGGGTCGCTGAGTATGGGCGCCGTCATGGTTGCTGGTGGTGCTGCCGGTATCGCCATGTGGATACCCGTCTTCCCAGTCGACACCATCAAGTCGCGGTTGCAAAGTGCCGAAGGCCGACCAACAATCAGCGGAACCATCAAGGGCATCCACGCGAGCGGTGGTCTCAAGGCTTTCTTCCCTGGTATTGGCCCAGCCATGGCACGAGCAGTGCCTGCCAACGCAGCCACCTTTGCCGGTGTAGAGCTTGCGCAAAAGGCAATGACGAAGATGTTCGACCGCGACGGCGAGTAAGGGACTCGCCACAGTCCTCCTACAATTTTCGGATTCGCTTTTCTTTCATACTCCATGTCCATCTCATGTTGATCACGAACGATTTGGTGGCATTGCATATGGCGTTGTTAGTTTTCGCCTCCGCGCTTAGATATAGAGCAAGGGGCTTTCTGGGCGAAATCCACCCTTCGTCCCACTCGCCAATAGATACTGTTCTCACATACTCATCTTTCCTACGTCCAAAGTACCGGTTTTGGGCGGCCATGAGGTCTGTGCAAGCCAGGGCCCATCGGAATGCGGTTGCATCCGCAGTCCACTCTTCCCGCCCAACCAAAAGCCGGCCAAGATGACAAAAGCCTTGCGATCGCTACCGCTGTCATGGACCTGGTAAAGCGCCGGATGTAGACATGCAGTACCAGGTGCATACCGCCTTTGTTTGCTACAATCCTCCGCTAGTCGCCACCACCCCCCGCGCCAATATGCCTTGCTTCGCCTTTGTCCTCGTCTATATCTCCCGTATTCGTACTGTATGTGTTTCAGGGATTATCGTGTCGATACTATTAAGAGGTGGACGGGATGTCCTGATGACGTGCGGAGATTAGCGAACCTCGGTGATGAATCGAGGTGTTGAGAGATATGACAATGGAGACTGCGCGAACCCGGACACCATCGATCTCGAGATCTGTTGCGCCAAAGTTCTCGCCTCTTAACCAGCACCCCGTGTCTTCTACCGCTGAATCAG